CTTATTTGAAAGTGGCCAAGAGAGTAGACTTTTTTAAATAAATAAATAGATAATAACACCATACAAGAAAGACTATAACTTAATTTTCATTAGGGTTTAGTGATACTTTCCTTCTCAGAAGGGTTTATGTTCATCTATGTGTTTCTGGCAAATAAGATCATATGACTTTCTAACAACAATAACAACAAAATCCAAGGTTATTAAATACAGATAAATATTTGTGCATAGAAACATGCATTAAAATTATTGATGATAGGATAGAAATGAACTAAAATCAAATTGTCCAATAATAGATGAACAGTTGAGGATATATTGATAGTCACATGTGCTGTGAAAATATGTAGTTACTAAGAAGAGATTTATAAGGCATCAATGATAACAGGGGAGAATGCTAAGTGTTTTATATTTAGATACAAAATTTAAAAGATACAAAATTTAAAAGATACAAAATTTAAAAGATACAAAATTTAGATACAAAAAAATTATTTACAAAAATATTGTTTACAAATTATTTACAAATATTTAGATACAAAATTTAAATATAAAAAAGATATAAAATTTAAAAGATACAAAATTTAAAAAAATGAAATGTGACATTAAATTTAAAGAGATGCAAAGCTTTCTTGGGGCACCTGGCTGGCTTACTCAGTTAAGTGTCAGACTCTTGGTCTCAGCCCGGCTCTTGGTGTCGGGGTTGTGAGTTCAAGTCCCACATTGGGTTCCATGATGGGTGTGAAGCATACTTAAAAAAAGAAAGTTTTCTTAATTTAGAAAACAACGAATCATGGACTGGGAGGTTGGTCATGATCACTGAGAACCTGGGTTTGCCTTTGATGAAGTATATATTTCTCTGAGCCAGCTTACTTCATTCATTTCCCAGAGCTTCAGTTTCCTCATAGGAAATGAAAACAACTATCTTGTTAGGTGGTTCTAATGACTAGGGGAAAAAAGAGACAATTAAATGGCACATAGTAGTTCATAAATAATGATAACTTTATTTATTATTGTGATATTCAACATCTCTGTTGAAAACTACAAGAAAAAAATGTCAGGATGTTTTTTTGCTCTGGGAGCTGGGAAAATGGATATACCTTTGAAAGTAGGTTTGATAGTCTAGTCACCTGACTACATCTGAATTCTGTTGAAAGATCAACCATATTGCTCTTCTTTAGAGCTGTGATTCATATTTTTATTGGCATTTTTCTTTTAAAAAATTGCTATGATATAGAAAAGTATAATGTGAACCCTAATATGAATAATTGAAATATGAGACAATATGTATTCAAAAAGGAACCCAAAAAAGTAATGAAACCTAAATTTCAACAAAAGGTTAGGAAAATGGTATGATTTCAACAGCTATTACTATTTTTCTAAGATTTATTTATTTATTTATTTGAGAGAGAGACAGACTCAGAGAATAGGGGAGGAACAGAGGAGGAAGGAGAAAGGAAATATCAGACTCCTCGCTAGCACAGAGCCCAGCCTGGACTTTATCTCACGACCCCTATATCATGACCTGAGCTGAAATCAAGAGTCAGACACTTAACTGACTGAACCACCAGGAACCCCAATAAGTATAACTCTTTAAAATCTGATTTACTTGAGCATGTAAATACATAGCACTGATTATATGTGAGACACTTCCAAGAGCTTTTCATGTATTTGCACATGTTTAAAATATTTGTATTAAATGACTGTTAAACTCTTTTACTAGATCCTTTGATATAGACCCTATAATTTTCTCTAGTTTTCAGATGGTTAAACCAAGCCCTAAGGAAGTTAAGTAACTTGCCTCAAATTATACAACTAGTAAATCATAGGGGTTTGAACCCAAGTGGTTGAGCTCCCAAGGCTCATGCCATTAACTCTAAGCTCAGCTCCCTCATACCCTGGGAAAAAAAAATAGATTTAAAATATTCACAACTGCTCCTTTATATTGCATATGTCTAAGCTTTGATTTGTTTCTTGTTAATTCCATGTAACAATAACATGAGGAACCAAAAGATCTAAAATACATTTTCTTTTTTTAAAAGTTTTGCGTAACTGTTCAAAAATCAACCTGGAAATTTATGCATAAGGTGAATGTATGATAACTGGTGTTAAAGCATTCATTAATTTCCTACTTGGAGGATTAGATAATTTCAAGGAATTATTTCTAACCTTTATTTATTTATTTTTAAATACATATTTTAATTTTACAGCACTGAATGACATGTATTTTTAAAATTATTTCTTCATGAACTTTGCATTATTATTCACCAGAACACAGGGGGCTATGATTATTTTACTTGTGTTAATGCTGAACCTTTGTCAACATTCTTACTACAATTCTACCTTGGTAATAAAATAGTCAATATATTCCTGCATCTTTTTAAACATTTTCCCCCCTGGCAGTGGAAGTGTTACTTCACTGAAGCAGATAAACAGGATGGATAATGATTGTTATATGCTCAGTGATCCTTATAATGGGGGAAAAGTAGAATGTTCTCCGATCATTCTCAAAATCGGAAACTGACTGAATTTCATTTAGGAAATAGCAAGGTCTCACCACAGGTAACATTCTCTAAAGGTATATAAAGACTAGAATATCTGCCCTGAATCCTCTTTGTTAAATCAGATCCATACAGTAAAAACCTCCCTATTTTATGCAGATGGTAGGAGTCTCATATAAATCATCTTTCAAGTTAAGTAAAGATGTCCAGAAAATCTCCCCACTAAAAAATGAATTAAAGGAATCTCCCATGATTTGGGGAGGAGATATCTGAAGTAGATGCCTAGAACCAAGGATATTACCAAACTCTATATATATCATCTGTTTTCCTATGCACACATATCTATGATACATGTCTATGATAAAGTCAAATTTATCAGTTAAGCACATTAATAGATTAACAATAATAATAACAAAAAAGAGCAACTGCAATACTATACTATTTATAACATTTATGTAAATGTGGTATCTCTTTGTCTCAAAATATCTTATCATATTATTCTCACCCTGGCACTTGTGATGATGTGAGATGATAAAATGTCTATGTGATGAGATGAAGTGAGATGAATGACATAGGCATTGTAACATAGTGTTAGGCTACTATTGACTTCTAATGATAGTTCAGAAGAAGGATCTTCTGCTTCTGGACCATGGTTGACCGTAGAGAGTGAAAGCATGGAAGAGGGGTCTACTGTATATTGACTGTCTTGCTTCCTTTCTATATATGTGAAAATGTGAGAAGAACTTGAAAGTATCATTTTCATTTCTATTCTGTCACTTTGCTAGGGTTCATGTCCATGTGGACAAATCAGACAGTTAGAAAACAAAAATATATTGATCTTATTTTGAGGAGGTGAATGTTGTAATACATAAACCCAGGCAATATTTCATGGCTCAATTCATTTAAATTACTCTAAATATAAAAATTACATAAAAAGTACCAGCATAGGCACAAAAATATATAAGTACATATTTTTGCATTTATAAAAATTAAAACCAATCCTATGTTTGTCATCAACATACAGTGTTTATGACTAGATACTCTCTCATGCTGAAGAAAAGTTTTAGAAAAGAGCATCTTTTTCTTATTGTACTGGTGGCCTATTGCTGGTCAGAATCATGATTTCCTGAATTATTTTAATTTAGTTAAATCCAATATATTTACTGAATGCCTATTAAGCACGAAAGTGACTAAGCTATATTTTCTCCCCCTTAATGTCTTCATGTTGGACAGATTTGTAAGATGAAAAGAGCAAACAAATTATAGGTGACAGAAAAGGATCAACATGATTGCTCACATAGTACATGGTGTATAGAAACTCCCACATGACAAAGAAGGATCTCTTATGTAAGAAAATTGAAACAGAGATTGAAAGTATCTAGGAAGGAAACTAGATTCAATCAGACTCTGTCAAAGAGAAGGCACAGAAAATTTTACAGATGAGGAAATTTTGGTAGAAGTAATAGTATCAATAGAGAATGAAGGTCAAATATTGAAGAAAGAAAAAGGATAAAAGTGGAATTTATAGACCACAGAGGTGAGCATTTTTAGTCACATCTAGGTGTAAGGAATATAACACAAATTTAAAATAAGGCTTGAAGTGTGGTCCATAAGACCAGTGCATTTCTGGGAGTGGAAGATCTGTCTACTGTACACTGAAAGAGAGAGAAAAGGAGAAAATATAACCTCTGGGGAATAGTTGTCATCTGAGCATCAGATGTCTCAAGTAAAAACATGCTAATAATAAGGAAGCATTATTTACATTGGAATGAGATTCTCATAGGTTATGGTACACATTGTAAAGGGTAAGTCTCCACCAAGAGGTATAAAGGGATGAGTTGATGCTACACCAAATAGCCATACTATCCAGGAAAAAATAAAAACAATAAAGAAAAAGAAATATAAGAATAAAAAAGGAAAAGAAGTGTAAGAATGTCAGGCAAGGATTGATAGAAGAAATGAAATCATAAAGCCAGGATGGAGATTACTATTGAAACAAAATGTTGAATACATAGGGAGAGGTGGCACACAGGCTCATGTGATCTCAATTCTCTTAAAATAGAAAAGCTCAAGGAGATGCTTCATTTGTTTTTTTTAATACACCATTCTTTCTCCTCCCAAAATAGCTCACAGGGATCATTTAGGGGAAATATCAATGTGTTCTTGGTGTTCTCATCTAATCTTCTGATCATAATCAGATGATAGATTCTAAAACTGAAGACCTTCTACAACTTCCCACAGTATCTTTTATTGATACAAGCAGTGACTTAAAATGTGGGACTTTGTATAAAACCCTTAATTTCTAAGATTTCCTTATTGCTATGTGAAAGAAATGAAAAGGAAAGAAAAAAAATTTGTATTAATTAAAATAAAGACTGGAACATCTTCTACAACATGATATACATAAAATATTAATAACTTAATGCATAAAAGATATTTTACAGTTTAAATATTATATGATTAAAGTGAAAATGCTATCTGGGTGGTTAATTCACTACCAGCACTTACCCTGGGGCTGACGGCTGGGGTGGTATATCTGAAGGTCAAATGGCTGTGCACTTGTCTTCTGAATCACGCTGACATTCTGCCCTGTCCACTTATTGGCTTTTGACAGTGTGTTGGTCCTCCAGTCCGTCCAGTAGACCTCACTCCCATATAAAGACACAGCAAAGGGATGGGAAAGATATTCATGACCTCGAATGATTTCTATCATGGCTGTCCCATCATAGAGGGCTGAATAAATAGCATCTGACCTACAGAAATGTAAATACATTAATTTTATCGGAACTTATTCAAATAGTCCAGTGGTGTTATCATACTACCTAGATAAATGCCAGAGAGAATATTTTATTAAAAATACTTCACGGGTCTGTATCTGATTTGTAGAAAGAAGAAAAAAGCCTATCATAACAAAAACAAACAAAAATCACCACCATCATAATGAAAACAAAACAAAAAAATCACCACCAATTTCGAAGTGTGCATACACGATACTTGCATGTTAGGGTATGTTTTGAGTTTACAAATACTATCTGAGAAAGGTAACAGAAAATACAGAAGAAAAAGATCACCTGGCATCTGTCCAAACTATCCTTTTTTCAAAGTGGTCCACAGTTAGTCCATTAGGCCAAGCTCCAGTTTTCATGTCTTTGTAGATGGTTTTTCTTCCAGCTCCACTCATGGAGGCAGATTCAATGCGAGGAAAATTGGCATCCCAATCTGTCCAGAAAAGAATTCTGAAGAAAAATAAATAATGCTATTGCTTCAGCCATTGAGTTCACAAAGGCTTACTGAGTGCCTACTATATGCTAGACACTGGCAGGTAAACAGTCTCAAAAGAAACAGATGTATTATCTACCCACTTGGTGCTTAGAGTCCAGTGGAGAAGACAGACTAAATAAACACAGGAATATATGATTCCAGCTTCTAAAATATGCTGAAGGAAATTTTCATTATGGGAGAAAATAGTAGGTAAGTGATCCACTTAGAGAAGGTGATCAGAGAAAAAAAGGACTTTGAGGAGGCTGTATTTACATTGAATCTAAAGTTTAAGTAGAACAGTATAAAGAGCATGATGAGCAAAATAAACAGCAGATATGAAAACCTTAATAGGGGGGGGAAAGTGGATGATTTGAGGAATAGAAATAAGACCAATATAGTGAGTAAGGAGGTAAAAGGAAGAGGATGGATTTGAAGAGTGCTACCTAATGGGCTTTGTAGTCTAAGGCAATTATTTGGGATTTTATTCCAAGAGAATAGGAAGCATATTTAAGCAGGGGTTAAACATGGTATCATACATAAGTAGATGATAGTGAGGCAAGAGTATACCAGGTGGTCATTTTAAAGGAACAGCCAAGGATGACAGTGGTTTGGAGTATGGTAGTGGAAGGGAAGAAAGGTGAATGGATTCAAGGTATATTTGGAGGTGGAATTGCCAGGACTATCTGATCACTGACTATAGGGAAATGAAGTGGAGAATAAATCATAGGTGACTGTGTTTCTTGTTTCAGTAAAGTCAGAGTAAGTGCAAGGAAGAGGGTTTGCAGGGAATCCATAAATAAAATGCAGAAAATGAAAGAGGAACAGATTCTAAGACCTGGGAATTAACTGTGGTTGAGTGTGAAGAGCAATCAAAAGTTTGCTTTGAATTTTTTTTTTTTAATCTTAAGATTTCAAGATATCCAAAAGGAAGTGTTCAGGAAGCTGTACGGTATGCCAGGGTGAAGTTCAGAGAAGAAGGCAGGGCTGGACACATGAATTTGGAAATCATCAGTACCGAGATGATATTTAGATTCATAGCAATGAAATAGATCATATGACAAAAGATATAGAGGGAAAACAGAGGAAATCATTATACTTTCATATATACAAACATGAGGTTGTTAAAACACCATTTTCATATGTTAAAGATCATCTTTTTTAAACCAAATACTATTTGAGACTCTACAAATCCATGGTGTACAAACAGTTAGTTACAATGGGCATTAAGTGCCTCGTGTCCTGCATTTGATTTTTAAGCCTATTGGGCAATGGATGTTTTATGTTCAATTGACAGTGGTTTAAACTGCTGATGCATGTTTCTATGTTATATTTAATACAGTTACACAATAACTCCACAATCATAATTATTCTCCATATTTTTAAGTGCTTACTGTATGTTAAATACTATTTTTAGCCAAAATACTATTTTCAGCTTTATAGATTATCTCATTTAATCAATCATGAGGCTATGGTTAAAGTTATCTATGTTTTAGAGAGGGAGAACAAACTTAGAGAAGTTAAATTACTTGGGCTACACAGCTAGCAATTGGCAGAGGGAGATGGAAAATTGGGCAGCCTAACTTCTGCTCTGATGCTTTTAACATCAAATTCTTTAATGTCATGTCACTAAATAAAATAGGAAAGGGAAAACATCTGGCAGATGATAAGGCCATGTTTGCTAATCAATAAATTGTATTTGCCTTTTCTATTTTCATAGAAGAACCCAATGAGTAGCATGGTGATTTGGGAAGGGAGAACTCACAGGATTGGAGAGATAGTGACAGTCCAGTAAATTTTCCCATTATCAGCTCTGACAACATTTTGGTGAGAAATGGTAACGTTATTGGTAAAAATACCTTTGTTTTTCACTATAATTATATATCATTTAGCTATTTTTCATTCTTCTGTATTTTGAATGATCCTTAAGTATATGAACGTGGTAGATTACCTTGGAAAATAAAATAATCCTCTGGAACAAAATTCAAAATAAAATTCAAGCTATCTTCTTCTTTTTCTAAATATTATCTATATTATGTTTATGTAAGGAGATGTGGAGTGATGTAACTAAGTATTTACTATGAGTTGAATTTTTGAGAAGTATATAGTCTTTACGACAGAGGAATTTGAAATATGAAATGAATAAAACACAATTCAATACATTATGTAATAAATTTAGTAAGTATGTGCATTAAAAGACTATGGTGAGGGGCACCTGGGTGGCTCAGTGGGTTAAAGCCTCTGCCTTCAGCTCAGGTCATGATCCTAGGGTCCTGGGATCGAGCCCTGCATCGGGCTCTCTGCTCAGTGGGGAGCCTGCTTCCCTTCATCTCTCTCTGCCTGCCTCTGTGCCTACTGGTGATCTCTGTCTGTCAAGTAAATAAATAAAATCTTTAAAAAAAAAAAAGGACTATGGTGAAGAGAGAAGGAAGATGTAGATGTCCTTGATAAGAGTGGCAGCTCATAGACAGCTCTGAAGCACTGGGCAGCCTCAAAATATTACTAAATAATTATGCCAATATGTTTCTATGTCAGACTAACTTGGGATCAAGACTGGTATCTGTCACTTTCTCCAGAATATTTAATCTCAGACTCCATTTTCTCATCGGTAAGTAAAATCTCTAACTGTACACACTTATCAGGAGCATTTGGTGAGGTCCTGGATGTAAACAATCTAGCACAAAGGATGACTAGGTCACAGAAAAGACTTGTGCTTCCATGAGCATGCCACCCACACATAGTCATAGAACTGATTTTTTAAATGCTAAATTTCTAAGTATTTCCAAATTTTTAAAGAAATGGAGAGACAGAAAGAGAATTAATACTATTGTCAATGTTTAAATGTTACAGCAACATGTATGTGAAAGTAGAATGTTTTATAAGTCAAAGCCATAAGAAAAGGAATTCAGAGGAGGAAGTTGTAAGATTGGGTTTATCTCAAAGAATGTCTCTCAAAATCTGAGTTTATGTTAAAAAAAAAAAAAAGGAAGTTTTAGTTTCATGGGCAGCAATAGAGGAGTTTCCTGGTCCTGCTATGGGATCATATCTACAAAAATAATATCCAAATTATTCATTCTTTAATCACCAATATTTGAATAAATTAAGTAAACTTCTGAGAAAGGATAAAACAAAGTAATGTATCAGGGATAATGTATTGATAACTGTTGAAGCTTGGTAATGAATATGAAGAAGTTAGTTATGTAATTCATTCTATTCTGTGTATTTAAAAATTTCTATAATAAAAGTTTAAAACTGCAAATAACTCAAAATTAATAAAATAGATAATTTTTAAGAATAGTAAAAATACCAGAAGATATTTATAAAATTTTATAGTTAGATATCATTTTTCTAAAAAGACTAATTTTTAAAGATTAATATGAGAAAAAAGCTATCATGTACATACAATACACATATTACTTATAAATTACCTAATATACAATATGTTGCCATAAAGGGAAAACGGAACAAAGATTTAATATAAAGGTAGTAGGCTATTCAGTTAAGTAGTTGAATATCTTTAAAACAATGAATGAGATGTATTATGTGTCTCACTTCAAATTTAATTTTGGATGCATGCATCTTTTCATAGACAGCAGATTGTGGTCAGTTTCCCTTAACACTTAGGATTTTAAAACTAAGATTTAAAATGAGAAACAAGACCAATACAGCATCAATCAAATTGATGTGGTATCTTGACAGACAAGGTAGAGTAGAGATATTTGCAAGCTTAAAAATGATTAGGAAAAATAATCACTGAAAACAAACAATGAATTTGAGAATGATAGCTAGTCTGAATATCTATGGATAAGCCACCATGAGATCTAGGCAAGGCTGTAATTCACACTCTGGATTGATGACCCAAATACTTCTGAGTATTGTCTTTTGCCTGAATAAGTGGAAAACTGGTGTCTCTCTTCTAACTTTCTACCTAGTTCTGCCTTATGTGGTTGTGGAAATTCCAACACACACACCAGTAACTCTACAATTCTGCACTCTATATTATAGATTTACCAGAGTAGGCACTGTAAACTCTCAAGTATGTGTTTCCACTGGACCATAAAAGCATAGCTTGGGATAATTTGAGACATTCTAAAGTGATTCCTTCATTTCTTCACTAAACATAGTAGCATTAAGCTCTTTCTTCTGTAATGGTCACAATGGCCCTAATCTTTCATCAATTCAAGTGGGGAAGTTTCCAATGCTTTTTATAAAAGAACATGTTCTAGAATTAGTTCTCCTAAAAATGTTCTTAACTTCACCATAAGTCAGTTTACAATCAATTTAAAAAGTTGATTTCAAGGATCATTGTTTCATAAAATTCTAGGCACTCTTTTGTATACTTTATAGTGTGGTATTTTAAAGGAATCATTTCCCCCTTATTACTTTCTTTTTATGGTTAAAATGTATTAGCATTTCAATGATTGAATTATTTCTTGAAATACACAAAGACTGAACATCTCTTCTTACAGGACGTATGGAAATATTCAGCCACAATTGCTTTTAAAAAAGAGACTACAGTCTAGTGATTCTACAGTTCCTGCATTCATGAGTTAGTGTGTATCAGGATTAAATTGGGTCAATGGACCATGAACAACTTGTATCATTACAGGCATGAAAGGGCCATTATCATCTATCAGGTCAAGCTGCGGAAGGTGAAAATAAATGATCTTGGCAAAAAACAAGGATACTTATCTACAGTCTTTAGGTCTTCTAAAAGCAACAACATCTTTATTAGTTTCATTTAGGAACATTCCCAGATACAATTAAAATTTGATTTTGATGTTTCACTAATCTTCACAACTACTATATCTGCTTTCACAAATTGCAATTGCTATAGCAGAGCCCAGTTATTCTGTCAGATAAAATCTAAACACATAGTGGAGCAGGAGGACACCATGCAGCTGCACAAGTACAAAGGCAAAGACATTTCAAGACCCGAAGCAAATGCCCTGTAAATTGGGAACTCCCTGGTACTTCTTACTCCCTAATACTAAGCTTGAGGTTCAGGGGAGATTCATGGACTCATTCAAGTCACCTTAGTAATAACTATATTCCCTTAAAAAGGAACGAGAGAAAAATGGCTCCTCCCCAAGACTTCCATTTACCATCTTGGAATAACTTGTCACTTTGGACATTGGGTCAAAACCCAGAATACTAAAGGGATGTAGCATGATGGCAAATATGTTTTATAATATAAAATGAAGACCTGTGGATTTTCTGCCTGGGAAGCAAAGCAGTTGATTAAAAATATTTGTTTCTTGGCATCTGTAAAAAAAGGTCCCAAAGGAACTTCAGAGCTGAAGGAAACTCACATGATGTAAGCCTGTCTTCTTGGTCTAATGTTATTGCTCATTTTTTTTTTTTTTTTGTTATTGTTCTCTTTGTTTTTCCTCAGCTATGCTGAGGGAGGGAAGTCGCTGTTTGCAAACTTGTTCATTCACTTGTTATTGGAAACAAAGTTTATAGTATTTACCCATTAGCTATCTTTTACTCTATGCTTCTCCCTTTCAGGTTTATCTTTGAGTTTTGTAAGTTACATGTTAACAAAAAGTCTATGAATATGCTTGTATTAATTTATTTAAACATATTCAGCACAATTTTATATACTAGGAGTGGGGGAGGATTTCACAGACATGGGACCATGTCTTGCTATTAGACTTTGTTTACCATTAGAGAGCTTATGATGTGGTAGGAAAGTAATAGTATTTACAGAAACCATAATTCTAAAAAAATTATTCAGTAGACTTACCCCAAAATACCCTATTTTTTAAAAGAAGTTTAAGTTTCTTTGGAACTCCTTTCAATTTTGATTCACACCTTTTTTATATATTTCTTGAAATTTTTAAGAAATAGGGAGAAATTTTATGTTTCTATTTAAATAGATAACATGAAGGCAGTAAGTGGATTTTTTTAGTTTGTTTTTAAGTATTTATTTATTTGAGAGAGAGAGTGAGAAAGAGCACGAGAAGGGGGAGAGTAAGAAGGAGAAGAAGACTGAGCAGGGAGCCCGACACAGAACTCGATCAAGAGGACTCCAGGACTTCAAAGGCAGTCACTCAACCGAGGAACCCCTAAGTGGAGTTTAAATCAAATTAAATTATTTTTCAGTGTTTCTTTTCTTGTGCTTTGCTTTGCAGTTCACTGTATGTGTGTGTGTTTGCATGCTTATATGTATTTTTACTATGCTCTCAGCCTACCTTATGTAAGGTCCAATGTTTAAAAATAATTAAAATAATTAAATTAATAAAATTTAATATTAATTTAATAATAATTAATTAATATTAATAAATAAGTAAATTAATTTAAATAATTAAATAATTAAAATTTAAAAATGATTATGGACTTTTTACTAAAATATCCCAAACCTGAAAATATTTTCATATTTGCATTGCATTTTTAAATTTAATTGCTACAGCTGGGCTTTAGAGGTGTTTATGTGAACTTCATATCTTAGTTGTATCAATCCACTGTAGAATAATTTTTAGCAATAAAAATCCTATTATTATCATGACACCCAGACTTATCAACCTTTCAATTTCTTCCCAGAGTTGTATGAATTAATACTACCTTCTGAGCTTTGATTACTTATACCAAAAAGGATTTTTGTGTATATTTTTCACTCATTTTATTAAGAAAAAGATTGCTACCATTGTAATTATTTTAATCAGCTGTACAATTTCATAGTAGCAATTAGTAAAAGAAGGCATCGACTTTCTCAGAAGCATTGTCATGTTTTCCTACTCAGAGGCTGGCATTCTACACTAACTTTCAACTCTTAGAGGGTATATTACTTCTGAAGATCTTATGTCACTGGAATACTATCTGATATTTTCACTTAATAGTATTTGTCGGTGATGTGTTGTGTCTCTATTTTTTTTTTTTTTTTCCTCTCAGGTAAGATCCTCTGCAAATTAAGTGAGATAAATAATTTTATCCTAAGGATAAAATAATTTTATCCTAAGCATTGTCAGTTCAAAGATGTAGAAAATAAAGTTTCAACTCCCAGACCTAATGCTTTGTTTGGTCAGACATTTTCAAAGCTTTCCATATGCTGATTTTGTCCTTTTTGTTTTATCTTGTTTTACTCTCTGTGTGCCATCTGTAATTTGAGAGCACTCACAGCTTTTCTACCATATTGGTGTATAAGCTAAAACCACAACTTTCTCCAAAGTATCACTTTCCCTTTTACAGAAAGTTTCCCCTGTGTATGAGGTACTGGTACCACTTAGGTCTATTAGGTGAAAATTCCACACCGGTAGTTGTTACATTGAGGGTAAAACCCCTGTTGGTAATGAAATTTTATGGGAAGTAAAGGGTCAGAATCAGGAAGTTAGCTGTAATCTCAGGAATAGTCTGTTTTAAAAAATGAATTTTTCACTAAACATAATATATCTCTTCCCAGTGCACTGTTATTATAGGAATTAATGAATAAAATGGGCAAAATGTAGACTGTATAAATAAGAGAACCACTCTCTAAGGTAAAAGATACAGCTACTGCTTTGCTCCTTGCTGCCAGATCTCTGTTTTTTTTCAAAAGCAGCCAGAAATCCAGGACTGTATACAAAATGCCTTAATATTTTAAGTTTGGACAAGTAATAAATAAATTCAAAACACTGTAGAAGTTAAGCAAACATAAGAGTTGCCTATTTGGAGCCCTGTTCTAGGCAAGCTACTTTGGTCCTTTAATTTTTGTGTATGAATTGAAGAAAAGAACAGACTTCCTAAACCATTGATTTCTATACTTCGGCATAAACCAGAGCACCAGCCAGAAATTGTGGTCAGGAAGGTGACTTAAACACAGGCTCCCTTTCTCTCTTCTGCATTTCATTAAACTACCTCCTGGCTGATTCTCCTTCCTCATTGGTGTTCCCTGGACTTTGTATTACTTGAAGGTACAGAGACAAAAAAATAAATTAATCGAAATAAAAATGAATTAAAAAAAATTCTGATCTGCTAACCTTTAGCCTTGACAATGGTTTTGGGTTTGTAAAATAATTACCAAGGAAATAAATAATTAACAGTAATAACAGTATTCTCATCTATATCACTTAAATCTTGTCTTCCACATATTTACCATCTCCTCAAAAACAACCAAATGATAAAGGTATCATCCCTGATTTATGAAAGAAAAACTGAAATTTAAAGGAAGATAATAGAGTTAAGTGGATTCTCCAGAGAATAAGTGAGTGAATAGAAATTGGAGCCCTTGTTTTCCAGGGTTTTCTTGTCTCTCTTCTGCTCTTTCACAGAGGAACACACAAGGGAACACCAGGGCCAATTAGCTGAGTTACTCAACATTTGACCTTGTTTTCAAGAATCATGTGCCTTGTCTTTCCAACACCTCAATAGTCAGTGTCTCATCACTGGACTCCTTCAACCTTATACTAATTTTCTTTTAAACTGACTCCAAGTACTTATAAAATACGTAAGAGGTGGTGCAATTAACATCTATGACTATTTGTACCAGAGACTGGTCCTGTGGTTTGGAACCATTAGAAACAATTATAGCATCTCTTTGACACGTCACAGAGAAATTCATTAAATTACTGCTTCAAAATTGAGTTGCAATAGCTTTCAATAGGGCTTAATGCCCATATTTAGAAAAAAGATATTTCTATCCTCTAAAGATACCTATGTAAGCAATCTTATAACCAAATTTATGCTAATGAACTTGAACTGATTATATATATATGTTATATATAATATAAATAGATGTAGACATACATTAGACATAAATATACATAATTGTACATATATAAACATATACATACACATGCACATATATAAACATATACATACACATGCACAAAATAAGCAATCTGACTCATAATTTACGAGATAATTGAATTCAGTATTCATTTAAAAGATTATTTTTTATGCCAAAGCGAATTTGTAAAAGGCAAACTTCTTTACCCATATCTTGGGTCCAAAGCAATGGCCCTGGGGTGTTCCATGGCTCCAGCTATTAGTGTAGTTCTTAAGGAGCCATCAAGTTTGGCGACTTCAATTTGGTCCAGATTGCTGTCTATCCAGTATATATTGCCTGCTATCCAGTCGACGGTCAGTCCTTCTGGGGTAGCCAAGCCATGCTCCACAACCACTTCTATTGCACTGACCCCTACAAAAAAAAAAAAAAAGAAGAAAAGAAAACCAATACTTGTACCCATTCAATGAATGTGTTATGCGCGCACATGCACACGAGGCCTACTTAACAGCAGCACAGAGTTTTGAAGTATTATATTGAGTTTCAAAGATAAAGTGCAAACGTGTTACCTGGCATGATGGAAACTAAGACTCCGAATTTAGAATTACTGATCTTTCCTACCAGAAATCTCTAATTTCTTAAGCCCTTTCAGTGACAGTGCAATAGAATTTTTGAATAACTTTAAGGCTAAACAATAGTGTTTAGATTTCAAAAAATTATATTTCTTGTTTCTGACTTTTGAAATAGAACACAGGATTTGGGGAATAAGAATGATGTGCTAGTTAAAATTAGTGCAATTTAGTATCAACATTGATCTTCAGGGGTAGAATAAAGAGAAAATGCCCCTCTGGGGCAACATGCATTATAGCTAGTCAGTAGCCACCCTTTTCTAAAGCATGATAAATAAGATGACTTTACTGCACTTACCCTTAATAAAGATAAGCCCCAAATCTCACTCCCTGCCCCATAAGACTTACACTATATAACATGATTACAAATAAGAGAGGAAGGCATTAGTTTGGTCTAAATTAAAATAAACAATTTGGGGGACGCCTGGGTGGCTCAGTTGGTTAAGCAGCTGCCTTCGGCTCAGGTCATGATCCCAGCGTCCTGGGATCGAGTCCCACATCAGGCTCCTTGCTCGTCAGGGAGCCTGCTTCTCCCTCTGCCTCTGCCTGCCATTCTGTCTGCCTGTGCTCACTCTCTCTCCCTCCCTCTCTCTCTCTCTCTCTCTCTCTAAAAAAAAAAAAAAAAATAAATAAACAATTTGGTAATGTCCACTAATGATCTATTTATCCACTTTTAAATTTCTTTTGTAATTAAAATATTTTTTCTAATAGGATAACTCTTAATAGTTTACGACATTGTCAGTGTTTTTGTTAGACATTTTAACAGACTTTTTTTTTTAGCCCTTAATCATCTAAGCCCAAGGATCTAAATCCATCACTTGAAATCAGTCTCTTGCAATATGCCACAGACACAAATTCACAGGTGAATCACATATTTATTATCATTTTTCCAAAATTGCAAATGTGACTTAAGGAGAAATTCAGATTTTTATAGAAACACATGGACTTTGGAATGCTACACAGAGCCAACGTTTCCAAAATGATTATTACATATATTTATCTCAGAGCCTTGCTACTTAAGAAGTGTCATTAGACAAAAGAGTTAAGTCAAACTATGATAAAAACATTTAGTTCATATTAGTGGTCTTTGGGACAATTCATTATATGTTGAAATTTTGCTGACAAAATAACATATTTTAACTCGCAAACATTATGTCTACTAGTATGTGGAAGGCAGTAGTTATTTCTTATAAGTATTTTTCTTTACCAAATGTCCATGGAGAAGCTCACAATTTGAAAATTGTATGCTTAGCACAGGCTCCCATCATTCATTCCCCTCCCTCAATATATTTTCACACATAAACTTGACATCCCTGGTTTTACATATATGAGGGAGAAGGCAAAGAATGAAAATGCAAAGATTGATCTAAATCCCATCTCATGACAGCATATTTTTCTAGAATTTTCATTTAAAAATTACCTCCACTTTCAGAAAGCTTGCCCCGGTATATCCTGTCTTCTACAACATCCGTCCAATAAAGCAAACTTTGATTGAAGTGAAAATCAAGTGCTATTGTGTTTCTCAACCCAGGAACAAGTAGACTATAGTCTCTTTTATGAAGATCAATCTTTCTGATCTCATGACGAATAGAAAAGATGATGAATGCTTCAAAGGGATCTGAAAATAAATGTATTTTTAATAGGCTTATAAAAATATTTATATGCTTTCATAAGTAAGATAAAACACTTTGAGGTCAAGTCCAATTATTTACAAGCATAATTTATTATATAATTCTCTGTTATTCCAGGAGCAATTTCTTTTAATCCAACATTTATAAGAAACTTGAAAATTTTAGGCTTATATATATTCATTAAAATAAGGTATAAATATGTCTTTATTCCTTGGATCTTTCTTCATTTGATTCTGATTAAAGAACACAAGAATTATTGGAATTCCAAGACAAAATGGGGGTTTTCTATCTTTATGGAGCTTCAGCTGACAATCTAAACCATGGAAACATCAACATAGGAATAGCTAAGAGTTGACTAAAATGCTTTCTGCTACTCTGAACCCATCACACGCCTATAGCTCCATAAAGGAAAGAGATCCAATAAAAGAGGATTTCTTTGAAGAGAGTTACAGTCTTAGAGTTAGAGTGCACTCCCCATAAGAGGGTAGATGATGACTTTCTCCACAGTCTGACATTTACTAAAATTACATTATCAGTTTGGAAATGTGCTAATTACTATTGGACATCTCCAAAACCTATTTATTCTCTTTGAAGTATATATATATATATATATATATATATATATATATATATATTTATTTATTTATTTTAAATATATATATTTATTTATTTGTCAGACAGAGATCACAAGTAGGTAGAGAGAGAGGAGGAAGCAGGCTCCATGCTGAGCAGAGAGACCAATGTGGGGCTCGATCCCAGGACCCTGGGATCATGACCCGAGCCGAAGGAGCCCCTGAAGTATATTTTAAAATCACTATTTATTTGTTTGACATCTACCTTCCTCACTGGTTTATATGCTTTATTAAAACAGAGATTTTGGGGCACCTGGCTGGCTCAGTGGGTTAAGCCTCTGCCTTCGGCTCAGGTCATGGTCTCAGGGTCTTGGGATCGAGCCCCGCATCAGGCTCTCTGCTGAGAGCCTGCTTCTCTCTCTCTCTCTCTCTCTCTCTCTCTCTGCCTGCCTCTCTGCCTACTTGTGATCTCTCTGTCAAATAAATAAATAAAATCTTAAAAAAAAACAAACAAACAAAAACAGGGATCTTGTTTGCTTAGTCCATTATGATGGGTCTAATATCAAGCACCAGGAAGAACACAATTCATACCAGGTCTTAGATTTAGAACAGTGCTAACTTAGGCTGCCTGCTATTGATGTAGGGAAATTACTGGTCTGCCCCAACCTCCACCAACTGAGCATGAATCTACTTCAGTGAGTTCTGCCTAGAACATTAAGTAAATGTGATTTGAATGAACAGATGTGAAACTGATTCCATCTTAAGCAACCAGCTTATAGCTACTATGGGACAGAGCTCGGCAATGATCAGTAGAGCCACCTAATTTACCTGAAGCTGAAAGCATAGTATAAGTAAGTCCAACCAAGGCCACAAGGACTAATCTGAAGGCCTGAGATCTTGTGAACAATAATTATGTATATTATTGTGATATTACAGGTCTTGTGGTAATTTATTGCACAGTATTATGGTTTTTACTGCACAACATTACTGTGACAGTAGCTAACTGATATAAAATACCAAACATGTATTAAACAACTAGTGCCAAACAGCTCCCAATAGAACAAATACTCATAAAATTTTAAACCCAGAATTTAGTGTTTTTGAAGTATAGAAAATGGTTCTATTGGATGTACAGTTATTTAAAAGGGAGAATACCTAATTATTAGGTATTAGGATTAGGATGCCTTGGCAAATCAGCTCTATGAAACAACTGCTTGCCTTTGAAAATTTCTTTATCTTTTTTCAGAAAAGGTCTTCATGTGTAAAATGGAGTTAATGATAACCTCCTTTAAATTTAACTTAAATTGCTGTTACCAAAATCCAATTAAATAATGCAGATACATTTGTTTAATAATCTCAAAATCATCACAGCGAATATAAATATGGAGGTAACTGTGAGGTAGTCAAAAAGTAATAGATTTGAAGTCACAAAATGAGGATTTAAAACAGAACTCTTCTACTAATTGGCTGTGTACATTTGAGACTTTCTGATCCTCAATACTTTTTTTATTTATAAAATATGTAACATACTGAGTTATCAGGATAATTGGTAATTAAAAGTGTGGATTCTTAACATCTCAATAAATATTTAATTATTATTATAAGTCTTAAATTTCAAAGATTTCCCAAAGGAATAAGCAAAAGAGATATTGCATAAGAGAAAAAGCTGGAATGATAATATACAAAAAGGGAGTTGAATATTTCTTAGCATGTGCCAAAGCTGGTGACATTTCAGTTCTGAAGAGCTTCCCCATCCTTTGGCTTATAGTTTGCCCTTAGTTAAGCAGTAAATTAAAAGTGCAGCAGCTACTTGCTAAAAAAATTTAGATTTAATAGCTACTAAGGGACATAGAGTTTCAAAATTGCAAAGCAATAATGTACTGCCTTTCCTTAGAAAATCACACCAGAAAAAGGAAATGATTTAAAAAAAAAGAAAGAAAGAAGGAAAAGAAATGCCAAGTTCCACTTCTGCTAACACTGGAAGACATCTGTTAAAAAACACCACAGTGTTAGAGGATGCACTGATGAATGTCTTCAAAATATGGACAGTTTCTGAAAGAGGATGCCTGTAGCTGCAGCTATTTAAAAAAAAAAAAAAATCCTGGCAGAGCATAATCTCAAAGGAGGTAGCATAACTAAAGGGAAAATCCCATAATTATTTTTTGGAAAAAGAGGATGGGAATAATAGCTTGGTCTCAAAAACTTCTCTGGGCCCATCAGCACCCTAAAGACTGATGAGAATCTGAATGAAGAAACAAATAGGCATGTAATACATTAAGTGAAAGGAGCCAGGTTCAAAACTCTATAGAGGTGGGATGCCTGGGTGGCTAAGTTGGTTAAGCATATGCCTTCAGCTCAGATTATGATCCCAGTCTTGCATCTGGCTCCTTGCTCAGCAAGGACCCTGTCTCTCCCTCTGCCCGCTTCTCTCTCTTTCTCTCTCTCTTTAACAAATAATTAAAATCTTAAAAAAAAAAGTCTATAGATGATATGATTCCATTGCTATGACATTTTGGAAAAGGCAAAACAACAGAGACAGAAAACAGAACAATGGATGCCAGAGGCAAGGGGTGGAAAAGGGATTGATTACAGATTTTTAGACAAAAATCGCTACCTTCCTACAAACAACCACCAACCAAGAAGACAAAATGGAAACAGAACAAAACAAAACAAAGAAAGAACAAATACACACTAGCAACAACAACAATGAAAAAGGATAAGAAATCTGGGAATGAAATTATTAAGAAATATACAAAGATTATACAAATAAATTTTAAAACACCAATGAGAGAAATAAAGACTTCAATAAATGGAAAGGCATGTAATATTGTTAGATAGAAAAAAAAAAGAAAAAAATAATGTCCCAAAGAACTTACTTCTGCCTGAATTAATTTATAAATTTCCTGTGATGAATAAAAATGACAAATACTTTTCTTTAAAAATAATACTAGGTAACTCTAAAGATTACATTAAAAATGTGTGACTAGGGAGTCAAGATGGTGGAGGAGTAGCAGACTGAGATGACATCAGGTTGCAGGAGTTCAGCTAGATAGTTATCAAACCACTCTGAATACCTACAAACCCAAGAGGAGATTGAAGAGAAGAAGAGCAGCAATTCTAGAAACAGAAAATCAACCATTTTCTAAAAGGTAGGATGTGCAGAGAAGTGAAGCCAAAGTTAGGGGAAGATAGACTACAGGTAGGAGGGACCAGTAAAATCAGAACTTTTAGAAGTCTGCTGCACTGAGGGACATCACTCCAGAGACTAAGCAGGGGTGGAGCCCTCACTGGGACAGTGTAGTCTCAGGTCCCACAGGGTCACAGAAGGATCAGGGGTGTCTGAGTGTAGCAGAGCTCACAGGTATCAGAGTGGGGAAGCCGACTACAGAGACAGAGCCGAGGAATGAGCTCTTAGCTTGGGGTTATCTTAAACTGATCCATGGCACAGTCAGACCACTGTTCTTTGAGCAGGGACCTCACAAGTGGCAGATCTGGGGAGATTCACCTTCATCTGCCAGAAAAGCAGAGCAGCAGGAATCTGCTGGGTTTGGAGACTCCAAACAGGGCTGTGTGCCAGAGACAGAAGTGCTCAGTCACAGGCCAGGTGAGCTAGGAGCACAACCGGAGACCAGGGAGACAGGAGTGACTGAATGCTTTTCTCCAAGCGTGCATTGAGGAGTGGGGTCCTGAGCTCTTGGCTCCTCTGGGCCAGAGATTGGAAATCTGCCATTTTCATTCCCATCCTCCAGAGCTCTACAGAAAGCATTCAGGGAACAAAAGCTCCCAAGAACGATCACGAGCAGATTACTTAGCCCAGCCCTGGCAAGGGCAGTGCAATTCTGCCTTGGGCAAAGACATTTGAGAATCACAACAACAGGTCCCTCCCCCAGAAGATCAGCAAGAACATCCAGCCAAGACCAATCTCACTGATCAAGGAGAACAGCGGAAACCCAAAGGAGAGGAAAGCAAAGCATGGAATTTCATGTCTTTCTCACCATGATCCTTTAGTCTTGCAAAGTTAATTAATTTTTTAATTTTATTTTTTCTTATTCTAATTTTTTTAACTTTTCCTCTTTCCTCTTTTAACAATTTTTAACTAGATTATCTTAACAATACCTTTCCAAAAAAATTTTTTAAACCCTCATTATTATAGTCATATTTTATCCTTCATTGTATTTAACTTTATTTTTTGTATTCATATAGGGTTTTTCCTTCCAAAAATTTATGGGAAACAATTTCTCCTAATAGATCAAAATATACTCTAAATCTAGCACAGGGCTTTTTTCTAGTTTCCAGCCTGACCAAATTATCTCCACTTTCTTTTTCTTTCTTTTTCCAACCAACTTATCAATTCCTTTTTTAGAATTTTTTAAAATTTTCATCTTTACAGTCATATTCCATCCCTTCATCGTGTT